AGTACATTTAAATATAATAATATATATAACTTAAAATCTAATTTACTTTGTTAAGCAATACTAACATTGATTAATGAGGATAAAGTTTGGTGTCTCTAGGGGGGACTATATTAATTTGCATTACAGTTAAGTGATATATTGTAAATTATAACAATAATTTGGAAGAAATCAATAATAATAATATATTTAATGTAATTTTATGAGTTAAGAGAGTATAGAATAGTGTTGATCATGAGTTGATTTGGATCGATTATTGGTTAAAATCGAAATTAAATTAGTTAATCGAGTTTTAAATTATTGAAACTGAACCAAATGTAATATTCATTTATTGATTTGGTTATTAACAATTATGATTCAGTTATTAATCATAAATTAAAGATAGAGTGGGAGAATAAAAAAATAAATGAGTTCTCCAAGTAATAATTGTCCACCATAATGTACCTTTTTTTTTTTCAAGTTGAGTTCACCGAAGTAGAAAAAATAAAATCAAAATCGAAAGAGTCAATAACTGAATTATGCCCCCAAGTTGATTTCATTACCCCTTTAAATTATAAATAAATTTTGATAAAGGCATATACAAGTTAATATTATAACTATTTCAATCAAATTAAAATTGAAATCAATATATTTTAATTGATTTGGTTCGATTTTGATTTGGATCGAATTTTATTTAAATCATAAATATCCATAGTGAAGAGTGTACGTATATCTAAGTGTTATCTCGTGGAGATAGAACGATTGACTCAAAAAGACCTTCAGCTCAAGTAGACAACGCATATCAAAATAGTTTGAAAAGGAAACTACATAAGTAAAAAGGCATATCAAATAAGTATAGGGAAAACATTATTGTGTGGATTATTAATTTATTTTTAAAAAGGAATGGTGATAATAGTAAAATAATGTGATAATCAAAACATCAAAAATAACATATAGTAATAAAAATGGAGGGACAAAAATTATTAAAATAATATTAATGCTATTGATATGAAAAGAAAAATATATACGATATACAAGTATTATGTTGTAAATTGAGGTGAGAATATATTTTTATTTACTAATTAGGATTTTAAAAAATAAAATTATTTGGTCTTCGAAAATATTGGAAAGTATTAACATTTACATAGTATAACGAAACTATAATTTGATTAACTCTTGGGAAAAGAATCAAAGATATGGTGTGAACGTGTATCTTATGGAGATGACAAAATATTTTTGGAAATGGGAACTAGTAAGTCATTATTTTTATAAATGAAAAAAACAAAACAAAATAGAAAAGATAGCACGATAAAAGATTCCCCAAAAAAGGAATAATATCTATAACAAAATAATACTATGATTGAAGTACAAAAAAACAATAAATATTACTAGTAGAAACTAAAGAACAATAAACTACAATAGTACTGCTACTACTACTAGCATGTAAGGATAGGTGAGACAACACACGACTACTTATACCAGCTCCTAATTTGTGTCTTCCATAGTCTCCTATATAAGATTATGTCATCACTAAATTGAAACTGTAATATGTTTTGTCTAATCATTTCTCTCTAATATTTTTTCGACGTGCATTTTCTGAGATCATTCATGACTCCTCTCACATCTCTACATTAGACATTCACTTAACTCTTATTCACATGTCCGATTATTTTAGTCTCGCTTTCTACATCTTGTTCTCAATTGATGTTACTCTCATTTTAACTGCAATATTTTCAAATCTAATTTTATCCCTCCTAATAAGACTACTTTCAAATAAATGTATTAAAGAAATTTTTTTTTTAATAATATTTGCAACTTATTTAGTTAGAATTTCAAAATCTACTTAACCAAAGAAATATTTTTATCAAAACAAAATTATATATACGTACTTCAGATAGTTGGGTGTTTGATCATTTTCATTCAATAAAGGAAAAATGCTCAAATATGTCATCAAACTTTCAAAAAAGGCTCATTTATGTCATCCGTTAAAAATTTAGCTCATCTATGCCATTGTCGTTAAAGAAAAGACTCATCCATGCCATTTTTTTAACTCTGATTTTGCAAATCATTTTTTATACCCCAAACAACGTTTAACACTTTTTCAATTGGAGTTTTTGGATCAAATGTACTCTTTTTGCTCCTTCTTCCTTATGAACATGAAGAACACATAGAGACATAAACAACTCCCAAATTTTCAATATTTTTTCAAATTTTTACGAAATCATCTCAAATTTCGGCTACATCATTAATTTCTTTTTTTTAAAATTCAAAATTCTAAAAATCATTTGTAGAGTTTAAAAAATTCACTGGTATTAAAAAAATTCCAGAAAATTGAAAATCATGCTTTGAGTCGTGTTTTTGTAGTTGTATTTGACATTAGATCTTTGTTCCCTAGTATTTTTTTGAGTTTATGTTTAAAATTTCTACCATTAAAAAATGTTGAAATTTTAAAGTTTTGAAGAAATTTCAAGCCCTTGACAGCAATGACATTGATGTACTAAATTTTTAACAAATAACATAATTAATAAGCTTTTTAAAAAAGTTTTGATGACATATTTAAGTCTTTTCCTTTAATAAATGCTACTGCTAGCATATGGAAACTAAGAAGTACCTCATATAGTTAGGTGTTTAAAAAAAATAAATGCTATTGTTCGCATATGGAAACAATTTAATATCTATAATTGAGTAGGTTGAGAATTTATAAAATTTTAGGTTTGACAAATAAAAATAAAAATAAAAATACTATAGGTAATTTCTTTTAATTTGTCCAAACTTTAATAGATTTTTTTTTTTTTATATTAGTAGATTACTTGAACGAACTACACATACACGTTTACTTAAAATATAATTTTTTAATAGAAAAAGTAAGATAAATTCAATTAGATTAACCATTTTTTTTTTCTAATTTATATACAATCATATTGGATGGTTGCATTAGATCTAATCAAATTTGACAAATGACCCGACAAACATAACCATTAACCCGTTTCCTTAATATAACAGTTTTATGAACTTGTAATCCAAGAAATCAAAGCGCAGAGGAAAACAGAGTAGAAAAAACGAAGAAGAAAACCCTAGGCGAGCACCGCATTGCACCAAAAAGAAGAAGAAACTTGTCAGCTTTGTTCGTCAAGTTCCATTGGTGCTTTGCTTGTTGTAAGTTTAGTTAGTTGTATTTTGATGGTGGAAAAAAACTAGTATTGTGGCGTTGAAATTGAATGATCACCATCATGCTTTGTTTTTTCTTCTTTTAAAGAATTTTTTTTGACTCGAACTGAATCATGTATACTCATACAAGTATTTATCCTACTGGTTAAGCAACAAAAGATTTGTGTTGTAATTACTGATTCTTTTTTTTCCCGGTTAACACTGTATTAATCTTTTTTATGGGCCATGATACAGGGTTTGATTTAATGGCCTACAGAGGTCAGGGGCTGGCTAAGCAAGTCTCGTTTGAACTTCTTCCTGCAAGTGAAATCCTTTGTCTCGTTATTGTTATATTCTTCACACGAACTATATGTTTCTGGATGGGTAACATTGCTTAATGAGCTTGGTCACAAGTTTGAATATAGGTGCAGTGTTAGATAAAACATAATGAATCATCTGTATACCACATAAATAAAGCCGTATGATCATCATAGTTGATTAATATATTGATTTTGGAAAATGGGTGAATTTTTCCTACTTTTGAAGTTGTAAAAATTCGTGCTAACGTAAGAGATTAAATTTTTTGTTGGATAGGAGAAGTGGCGTTCCAAAGGATGATTTTCTCGTACTGAAGTTTATCCTTGGAAGTTGAGCACCTGCAATAATGCTGTACTAAAAAATGCAGTTGGCTGATATGAGAGTTTTTATGATGATGAATAGAAAGATGTCTGGCCTGTTTTGATGTCTGAGTACATAATTTGATTACAAAATCTAGACACCTGGAATAAATTCAGGGAGAAGTTAATGGAAAGCAGTACTTTATTATGCCACATTAGGAAGAGATATGGACAATTTTCTTTCTTTCTATGCAAGCCTATCATTATTAATAGGTGTAATATGGCAGCATTATTATAATACTGTAAAAATAGCCTTGTACATTATGTTAACATATTGAAACTTTTACATATTGGTATATTGAGAATTTCTTAAGCCCAAGGATTTCCTTTTTCCTTGCAAGTGACGTTTTATTTTACTTGTAACTTTGGTCCCTTGATTAACTATTTCTGACAGATTTTACTTAAAGAATGACAATAATATTGAATATTTGTTCTTTAGTTTTACATTGGTTTAGACAATTAAAATACATAATCTAATTTTTATTTCCTTTAATATTTAGTCATGTAACTAATACTTATTAAACTTATTTTAGCATGATTTAGTACTTTTAAATTATGATCATTCTCATTATGACTTGTTAATTGCAATATTTGTTTTACGCGATTTCATTATTATTATTATTTTTGTTGGATATTTTAGTGTCATTAATCATATCATATTTTGTGTTATTTTCTTAAGAAATACCTTAGATAATTGTATATTTGGTAGGACTAAAGAAATATTTGAAGTACAAGTAAATTATATGTTTGTATGAATACTTTACCAAAATCCGAAAATCCGAAAAACTCGAAAATATCCGAGGCTGAAAAATCCGAGTTTTATTGATTTGGTTTGATTTATAAATTTAAAAATCTGACACAAATGATTTGGTTTGATATTTGAAAAACTCGAACCAATCCGGCCAGGTACAACCCTACTAGTATGCTAGGATAATTTTGGCAATTTGATCCGACAAAAAGATGAGACGTAAACTGATGAATCAAGATGCTTTTTTGTAGATAAATCGAGATGAATTGCATTCTTTCAAAGAATTTTTTGATGATGTAAGCTCACTTTTAGAATTATCACAAGAGGAACAAGAACTCATTTTTGCTTTCCTCTTCCAGAAGCAATGTTTTTCCTTTTTGAGAATATACATAATGCTGAGGTGCGGATATCACATTGAAAATTTCATTTATATCATGTAGATGATTTTCCGACTAATGACATGTGCACAGAGGGAAGACATGCAAGTTCAGAAAAGATGATTTCTGGAAAATGGAGATAAGTTGAAAAGAATAAACCATATACCCCTTGATCCTTCTCATGAATCATGATATGAGTAAACCTGGTTTTTTTCATAACAACTAAAGCGGTCCGGAAAAAGTTTTAACTGGCTGTAATAAGCTAAAACTGAATAATCTTTGTCGCAACTAAATTCAAAATACCAAGGTAAGATCTGCAACTGATAGAAGCATCTTCTCTCCGTCAAAGACGATCTACTAAAGTTTTCCAGCAAAGGCTTGACAACACCAATTTAAACAAGGAAGGAGAAGATGGTGAGTTGCACATAGCATCATTACATCTACTAACTACCTGCGCAAGGTGCTCCATTTTCCGGATCACATTTGACAACTCCAGGAGGAGTTGTCTCATCCGCGCATTAATGCATCTTATTACCATCCCTCTCACTCCAAGATTATTTTTCTCTGTAGGGTTGCCTCATCTGAGCATAGGTGCATTTGATTGTCATCCCCATCAAGAGATTCAAGCTCTACTTCCTCTGGAATCACTCTAGGAATATTCTGCAGCGCAAGTTCCAGCTCTCGAGCAATCCGCTGACATTAACAGTGAAGGGTGTCATCAGATATTTAAATGTTTCGCAACAAATATTGATTCAAGATAAAAATGAACAGGCCCCTAATATTTTCATGTTACTGAAAAGGAAGCTGTAATCATTTTACAACATTTGATCCGTGTTGCATGATAATATTTTGCATTCTCATGCCAATGGGGTATAAACTCGTAGAGATACAAACAATCCAAATTAACAAGGAGTTCCTAAGGAAATAAATTATCCAAATTTAAAAGTAACTTGGTAAGATTGAAACCATACATGATTAGTGATGTCCTCATGAAGGATTTTAGCCTTCTGTTCAAGCTCCACCTGCAAATAGAAGAGTAAGTTTTATGGTAATACTAAACAGTAAACAGAATGAATCTATAACTGGAAAACTTGAGGAATTGAGCTTATATCCTTTCAGAAATGTATAAGACAAAAATAAAAATATCAGCACTCTAATAGCTCAAACATTTAATAAACATTTTGTTGATTTGAGTCTCACCACAACCCATTACTGAAAACTCCCCATGACTCGGGGAATATATCCATGCCCACAAGTGAGGAGGATAAAAAACCAAATGCAAACTATATACCCTTTCAAGTAGCTTAAGATTATAAATGAAGTTGTACAAATTCAAAAGCACTTTTTTGAAAAAATGAAATACAAAAGGACTCTCTGTATAGTAGGGAACTAGAAAAGCACTGTGTTAAACTGAAGGATTCCCTCATTATCTCCACTAGGCAAGAAGTGCACTGATCCACATAACCCACTATTGAATCATGTTGTTTGGATGATCTGCGATAGTGTTCTAGATGAACCTGTTCAATGTCCAGATATACTCTATCTTGCGGCCTTCCCAAAAATGCAATTCTAAAGTTGTCTTAACCTTTTGGATGAAAAGAATATTCATGTAACATGCAGATGACGGGAAAACAGTTTTTTTGAGCTGGTGCTGTAGAGTTTGCTAAAAAAGAAAAAAGACGATTGGTTTCAGTGAGTCACGCTTTTTATTTGAAATGGAACACGATGATTAAGGCCAGCTAGCAGGCACTGTTATTTGGTGAAACCAAAACTGAGACACTATCAAGTACACGGAATGTTTAGGGCTACAGACCAGGACTGGAGGACCTATTCACATTACAGCGACTCATTTTTCCATCAACAACCTCCACGATAAGGGACCAGGATTAGAAGAAGAAGATTGAGAATTCACTTGCCACTCCAGTATTCTCCCTTGATCAGAGTCCTTTTCATAACTGGTTAAGAATTGGGTCCCACTAACCCAGCCGAGATCTACCCAGGTCTACTAGTTGCTTCCCACCAGAAGGACCACATGACAGGACATGAAGGATACATGAAAATGACCAAGTCACTCTTAGGGAAAGGATGACTCCTAGAACAAGGCAAGAGAGCATGTGGTATGTTGCAAGCAGCATGTTGCCTGAAGAGCTGAGACTTGAGAAATGCTTTATGATGAAAGAGAAAACTGGGTTGTTCTAGAGGCAACCAGAACTTGCACTGAGCAGTCCCGACAGAGTGATCACTTTTTGGACAAGTCATTTATTTGGGAGTACTTTATACTGGAAACAATAGTTAATCATATTAAAGTTTTCAGTCATATAATAATACCGAGACTATGTTTCAACGTAATAGTTATGTCAAAATGCAAGCCAAAAAACTTACAACTGTAAGCTTTTTGAAAATCCCAGCTTTGACTTTCTTTCTGAACTCATCACATTCTTCCTGAAAAACAGAGAAAAATGTCAAAACACATTGAATTGAAGGTTAACCAAGAAAGCTTTTTGGTAGAGTTTTTGCCACTGGGTAGTTCCACACTGTTAACATGTTTCTCAAGTATAAATGAATACATGTAACAGCTTCAAATCAACTAAGGGTAAGATGCTATGTTGTATTCTGAAGAAACAAAAAACTAGCTTCCATTAGGATCTAGACTACTAGAAACGTTCAATCATTTCCTTTTTTATTAGTAGAAACATTCAATCAGCTTTTTCCCTCAGTTCAAGAAATACTCAAAGTGATAATCAGTAAATGGAAATGGGAATAATCAGTAGGTGCCTTTCTATTAGGTCTATAACTTTTTTTTTTTTGGATAAGCAATTTCCATTAGTGTAAATGCACCAAGAGTAGCTCAAAAGACTAAACAAAAACAGGAGTGCTCCAATTACACGTGGCAGTTCAGCAGCTCTAGAATGCTATCAAACATTTATTGTCTAGGATATTTTATATTACTTCCAATTTGATGATCACACAAATCTACCTCAGCTTCCACAAGGTTGAGAATATTGGTAACCCAAATGAAGCCACTCGTCAGTCACTGAATTTGTTTTTTTCCGTAACTAGAAACATAAAGGGGTAAGGTATGCATACACTTTACCCTCCCCATACCCTAGATATGGGATTACACTGAGTGTGTTGTTGTCGTAACTAGAAAACGTATAACGTTCCAATACTGTGGTGCAGATTACACCTACAAGACGAGTTAAAAAGCTATTTTCTTCTGTTTGTATAGAAAATAATAGCTAATCCACATGCCACACCTCCTATCATTGGCTGCAATAAGGATCTTTTCCAAGAGTGAAATCTATTATGACACTACTAACATAAAAATCTGAAACAGCCAATGATAACAACTTCTCAAAACAAGAGAAAACCTTTGATCCTTTTTAAAAGATCAAAACAAATATAGCCTAGAAAATAACCAACATCCAAAATTAACAACTTTTTTGCAGTCTGCTTTTAGCAGTATGGAATCTAACTCTAAGTTAGAAGAGTGACACGTATTTGTACATGAAAAGACTCGGATTAACAACATTTAATATCTATATGTAATGAACGTATATGTAGAATGATCATGAAAGGGTTGAAGCAGGTTACACTAGAAAACTCATCATCAGAAAGCGTGTTCAAGCAAACATTTTCAGTGATATTTGAAACTTGAATTAAACTCTTGCAACAGCAGTTATCGCTTGATCCATGCTTGATCCCTGAAACACTCGCTTAAACAAGAAAGATGTCAGTTTGAAAGCAAAATTGGTGCTCAACATTAAGTTTTCAATGGAAGAAAATATTCAATATTAAGACATAGAAGATGAGAATAAGATTATGATCATTGCCTCACTCTCTCCATCCAATTTACTTGACCTGCTTGCTTTTTTCTCTTCCAAATTTACTGAGCTTCTTTAAGAGATCAATTTATCTTATTTCATTACGTCATATCTTTTCATTGATCTATTCCACTCGATTCACATATCAAATTTCTCCTTCCAGATTTATCCAAATCCTATTAAATTTAATTATAGTAACCTATTTCTAATTTTCTCTCTCAACCTTTGAAGCAATTCAAACTAGGTTTTCTACTCTTTTTCTTTGGGTTGGAGAATGTAACTTGTTTTAGTTTAGCAGCGACCATCCTCCGTCCTGAAAAGAGTAGTACGATCTGGAATCAACTCATCTGATCCTCTATGTCAATTCCGAATCGATGCTTTACTATTTTCAAAATAGTATTTACATATTTGAAAACTACATATTAATTACTACTAATAACAATTATTTTGGTAAAATCTTACCAAATTATTTAACACATCGTAGTCAAAGAAAGAAACAATTTGACTCACCAAATAGTAATAGTATCATACAACATGAGCAGACAAAGTATAATAACTAATAAAGAAGGTTTTTATGTTCCAAACAAAATATAGAGGGTGTTAAGAATGAACTCTTCTCTCAATATTAACAAAACAACATTGACAAACCCAAAGGAAATTCAGTTCACGGGAAGATGAAAAGATGAGTTTTGAGTTTCAACTTTTATTTCATGTGCTTGAACAGATTATAAACGTCATGATAACAACAAAAAGAGTAAACAAGTTGGTTGAGGAAACATAAATCATTTATGTTTAAAAAACAGGTGTTCTGAATGGAAGACATGAGCATACTGCAGCATTCAGACATATTCACAGCAGTCATATTTTGGATAATTTCAAGTATCCTAAAACTTTGTATGGAGTACATGAACATAATGCAGCATTCAGACACATTCACAGCAGTCCACCGAGGGATGTTAACAACTATGTAAAAAAACAAATCAAAGAATGAAGCCATTTGTTAAAACAACCTGTAATTTGCACAAGCTGATGAGAGTTACGCAGCTCAAAATCACGTGGATCTAACTTGACCCGAACAAAACTTCCTATAATCTTGGTTTCAAATGACTCAGGCTTCTTGATCATCTCCAGAAGCAAACTCCTCTTCAGGTAAACGAGTTTGATATTTTCAGGAATCAAGGCTGCAAATTGACTTTGTGCTGCAGTTGAATACGAAATTGAGGATCTTTTGTTTTGTTCAACCTTTTTCTCAGTTTTAGAAGCCACCAACATTTCTGTGTCATTGTCTTCAAGATCATGATCAAGCTCATCCTTTTGTAATCGCTCCTCATTTTCAACAAAATGGCTTATAAGGAGGCTAAATATTTTGTCTTTGTTTACCACTTTTTTCCCCAAAATAGCTTCTAACTGAACATCACAAAGGATCTTTCTCCTTTCAACCGGATGGATAAGGTTATTTTCATTTACATATTTACTTACCATCGATGTCACATCATATGGGGATAATTTTTCTCTGGTATCGTGACCTATAAGCTGAAGAAAGTCAATTAGAGATTTTGATCCCCATCCAACAAATTCTTTTTTCTGTGAAGTGTCGCTTCTTTGCATCTTTGTTTTCTGTTGTGTACATATTTTCTTTTCACCCCTTTTCTTCTGAGGTCCTCCATCACTGAAATTTTCCGAAGAAAGTTTCTCATCCTCATTTTCAGCCAGAGGTTCAAGTCCTACTTTTTCGGGAATCACCCCAGGAATATTTTTCTTTGTAGGGGTGGTTGTCTCATCTTCGCATTGATGCATCTTATTTCCATTCCTCTCATCTCCAGCCATTCCTCGATGCATATGATTGTCATTCCTATCTAGAGATTCAAGCTCTATTTTCTCTGGAGTCACTTGGGGAATATTCTGCAGCACAAATGACAGGTACGAAGCTTGCTGTAGGAGCTTTCTTTTCTCCAGATGCTGGAAAAGTGTAAACAAGGGGTTAAGGAAACACTTTCCTTTCTTTGCAGAATGGACCAGGATGAAGAACATCGAGACAACAGTACACACAGACAAAATTAGGGAATGAAGGATGAGATGATAAAAGAGGAACATAGGGGTTAAGATGAAATTGGTGATCATAGAAAGTAATGCAGGTGACCAAACACAGAAGCTTACTACCAAATCTGTGCTAAATTTTCCATCCTTGGGGCTGGTTTGGCGTTCTGTCAAATACGATAAATTTAGTCACCCAAAAAAGAAGGAAAAAAGGATATTCCTCTCTCCGTCCTTTCTCATTTGCTCGATCAATGAGTTTTTGCAACAATTCCAGCTCTTGAGCAATCCTCTGCCATTAAAAGTGAAGGTGTCACCAGATATTAGATGTTTTGCATATATATGGAATCAAGATAAAAATAAACAGGTCCCTAATAACTTCATGTTACTGACATGGAAGCTGAAATCTTTTTACAACATTTAATCCATGTTGTACGATAATTGTATTTATCATGCCAATGGAATATAAATTCGTAGAGCTACAAACTATCCAAATCAACCAGGAGTTCCTAAGAAAAATAAATTATCCAACTTTAAAAGTAACTTGGAAAGATTGAAACCATACATGCTTTGTGATGTCCTCGTGAAGGATTTTAGTCCTCTCTTCAAGCTCCACCTGCAAATAGGAGATTAAGTTTTATGGTAGTACTAAATGGAATTGGAGTTCAGCTGAATCTATAACTGGAAAACTTGAGGAACTGAGTTTGTATCTTTTTAGAAATGTAGAAGGTTAAATTAGAAGTATCAACCCTCTAATAGATCAAACATTTAATAGAGATGACACACACAATTCTAAATGGTGTCAGAGCAAGAATTTTTTATTTGATTTGAGTCTCACCACAACCCATCACTGAAAACTCCCCCATGGCTCAGGGAATATATCCATGCCCACAAGTGAGTATAATGAAAAAACCAAATGCAAATTATATAGAAGTATTCCCTTTCTAGTAGCTCATGATTTTAAATGAAGTGATACAAACTCAAAAGCAATTTTTTTTTCAAAAAAAGGAAATTCAAAAGGGAAGGCTATAACTTTGTCAAATGGAAAGATCTGATAGTGGAAAAAGATATGGGGGTCTGGGAATTAAGAACCTGAAAAACCACAGTAAGGCTCTCAGAATGAAATGGCTATGGAAGTATGCAAATAACAAGCAAATGCTGTGGGGGAAGTCATTGATGCTAAGTATGAGGAGGAAGACAGGTGGATCACCAAGGAAGTAACTGCTTCATATGTTGTAGATCTATGGAGATTTGATCTCTATGGAGTGAACTCAAGAATAGCACCAAGATCTGATCTCCCGGGCTAGGCAAGAAGTGCACTGATCCACGCAATGCACTATTGAATCATGTTGTTTGGCTGATCTGCATTAGTGTTTTAGATGAACCTATTCAATGCCCAGTTATATTCTATCTTGTGACCTTCCCAATAATGCAATTCTATGTCTTATCCTTTTGGAGAAAAAGAATATTCATGTGACATGCAGATGATGGGAACACACTTTTGTTGAGGTGGCGCTGTAGAGTTTGGTTAAAAAGAAAGAAGACAACGGGTTTCAGTAAAGGCCAGCTAGCAGGCACTCTTACTTGGTGAAACCAAAACTGACACTATCAAGTTCACAGAATATTTAGTACCGGGACTGGAGAACATATTCACATTACAGAGATCATTTTTCCACCAACAATCTACAATGATAAGGGAAAAGGATTAGGAGGAGAAGAAGAAGATTGAGAATTCACTTGACCACTTCAGTAGTTCTCTCTTGATCTGAGTCTTTTTTCAGAACTGGTTAAGAATTGGGTGCCACTATCCCAGCCAGGATCCACCCAGGCTCTACTAGTTCCTTCCCACCAGAGGGGTCACACCATAGGACATGAAGGATACATGAATATAACAGTCGTATATTCATGTATGTTATCCGCAAGAGAGCATGTCGTATGTTGCAAACAGCATGCTGTTTGAAGAGCTGAGACTGGAGAAACTAGTTCCCACTCAAAATCCATATTACAAGCTCTAACACTATATAACAAAGAGAAATTGGGTTTTCCAGAGGCAACCAGAACTTGCACCGAGCAGTGCCGACAAAGAGATCACTTTTTGGACAAGTCATTTATTTGCAGGTATTTTATGCTGGAAACAATAGTTAATCATACAAAGTTTGCAGTCATATAATAATATCTAGACTATGTTTCAGCGTAATGGTTATGTCAAAATGCAATCCAAGAAAACTTACAATTGTAGGCTTCTTTTGAAGCCCAGCTTTAACATTTTTTCTGAGCACATCACAATCTTCCTGAAAAACACAGAAACATGTCGAAATTCATTGAATTGAAGGGTTAACCACAAATCATGTCAAATTCTATATAGCTGATTAGCTGAAAAATCATGTCAAATTATTATAAGTAGAGTTTGCATAGACAGATGCCCTCAAAAGATGAAGTAGGTTACCTCAGAAATCTCAGCATCTGAAAGCATGGTCAAGCTAACATCAGTTGCCATATTTGAAACTTCAATTAAACTCTCGCTGTTGCACGTATCACTTGATCCAAGCTTGATCCCTGAGAACACTCCTTAAACAAGAACGATGTCAGTTTGAAAGCAAAATTGGTGGTCAAGATTAAGATTTCAATGACAGAAAAATATTCTATATTAAGACTTGGAAGATAAGAATAAGATTATGATCATGGCCTCAATATCTCCATCCAATTTCTTGACCTGCTTGCTTTTTTCTCTTCAAAATTTACTCAGCTTCTTTAATTGATTGATTTACTTATTTCATCACGTCATATCTTGTCATTGATCTAATCCACTCTATTCACATATCAAATTTCTCTAAATACTATTTTGTTTAATAATAGTAACTTATTTTAAATTTTCTCTCTCAACCTATGGTGCTAGTCAAACTAGATTTTCTACTCTTCTTCTTTGGGTTGGAGAGAGTAACTTGTTTAAGTTTAGCAACGATCATCCTCCATTCCGAAAAGAGTGGTATGATCCGGAATCCACTCATTTGATCCTCTACGTGTATTCTGACATCGATGTTTAACCATTTTAAAAATAACATTTACATATTTGAAAAATACATATTTGAAAAATACATATTACTAATTACTACTAATCACAATTATTTGGTAAAATCAAACCAACTTATTTAAACATATCGTAGTCAAAGAAAGAAACAATTCGACTCGCCAAATAGTAATAGGATCATACAACATGGGCAGACAAAGTATAACAAATTCTAAAGAAGATTTATATGTTCCAAACATAATATAGAGGGTGTTAAGAATGAACTCTTCACTCAATATTAACAACCCAATAATGACTAACCCAAAGGAAATTATGAAAAGATGAGTTTCAAGTTTCAACTTTAATTTCATGTGCTTGAACAGATTATTAATGTCGTGATAACCACAAAAGTGTAAACAAAGTTGGTTGAGAAAACATAATCATTTATTTTAGAAAAAAAATAGATGTTCTGGCTAGTTGATGTCCAATTATCTAAAAACTCAGGAATTGAAGACATGAGAATAATGCAGCATCATATTCACAGCAGTCCACCGATGGATGCTAGCAACCATTTCAAGACAAATCAAAGAATGAAATCATTTGTTAAAACAACCTGTAATTTGCATAAGCTGATGAGAGTTATGCTGCTCAGAATCACGTGGATCTAACTTGACCCGAACAAAACTTCCTATAATCTTGGTTTTAATTGACTCAGGCTGCTTGATCAACTCCATTACCAAGCTCCGCTTCAGGTAAACGAGTTTGATATTTTCAGGAATCAAGGCTGCAAATTGACTTTGTGGTGCAGTTGAATACCAAATTGAGGATATTTTGTTTTTGTTCAAGGCTGCCGATGACTTTGCTTTGCGTCTTTGTTTTCTGTTGTGTACATCTTTTCATTTTACGCTTTTTCTTCTGAGGTTCTCCATCGTTGAAATCTTCATTGTCTAAAGAAAGCTGCTCATCCTGTTTCTCACAACGTTTATCTGAATAAGAGCTAATTTGGCATATCTTCTCCTTGTCTAGTTGAGCCTTACCAGCAAGAAGTTTATTTTTGTCAATTCCTTCTTTTTCCTTTACTATCTCGTAATACTCCCTGAAAAGGCCCTCTTGTGTTTCGCAATCTCTGAAGTCTACTTTTTCCTGGAAAGTAACAATCACTCATATGAGAAATGGAACAGATTACTCATTAACTAGAGGAAAAATAAAGCAAATAGGAAAGGAGATATATCAAGAAATCAAAGAAAGACTAATCTAACTGAATATTGCCAATGCGATAATAGTGATAAACATGCAAGACGTAATCTCACATACTCAAACAGAGGAAAGTAAGCTGTTAATATTGTTTGTGACACAAGAAGATCAATTGTGATAATATCCTCCCTACATTTTACTAGAATAAACTCAATATTCGGAAGCCTAGAGGAATAATAAATTCAGGAAACAACAAAATGATGATCAAACCAATACCTATTGAATACAACTAAGATTTTCTACCGCTCTTCTCTAATGTTAAACCTGTGTGAAGCCACTCCCTGAGAGAGAGTTCACTTTTTGAACTTCTATAAAATACAGTTCACCTTGAAAACTGAACAGGAAACTTTATCTTTTTTCATATATAATCTTTCACTTTTTCTGATAACAAATGAATATAGTGTTTTAAAGAGAAACCGATAGCGCATCTCATATTTTCCTGTCGTCAAACTTGTCGCCTCTCAATGCTCTTTATGGACTTGGCTTCATTTATCTCCGTCTATCATGAGTATTAAACATAATTATATGTCAATGCTGTAAAGTGGGTGTTTGGATTGACTTATTTTTAGTGACTTTTGGCTTTTAAGTATTTTTTAGTTTTGAAAGTGTTTGGGTAACACAAAAAGAGCTTAAAAGCTGAAAAAGTACAAAAAGAAGCCAAAAGTAAAAAGTTGGGGTTCCCAAACTTATGACTTTTGACTTTTAACTTATAAGTCACTTAAAGAAGTCAATCCAAACACCCCCTAACTTTCAAGCTGTTCTCCTGGGCTAGTTCAGTTAATAGTTTCCATGACAAGTTCTCTTTGGATTTGAAGATAAACATTTCCAAAATGTAAATTAATTAATCAGTACTGAACCAAAAAAATACAGTTTTCGAGTAACCATAATAATCATGCATACCCCATCAGAATCAATATTCTTGTCTTCTTCCACAAGCAATGCGAGCTTTAGGCAATTATTGCACAATCCATTCCTCCCTTTAAGATGGACAAAATCGATAAGACCAATACAGCTCGAGCATGCAGCTCTTATACAACAGTAACAGTGATAATATGATTTTCCTTTGCAAATTAAGCATGTATGTCGTCCTGGAACACGGTAAAACTGATGTTACTTTTTGCACAACTATATTTATTCTATGTAATGAAAAAGCAATACATGACCAATTAAACTAACACGACAATATAAGCCAACAATATATAAGTACTCAAACTTAAAATGTTCGGATGCAATCCACGTTACAGCCCCTTGGGGTGTGGCCTTCCCTGGAGCCTGTGTGAACATAGGAAGCTTGACACACCAGGCTATCCATTTATCAGATGTCTTTGAGTGATAAATACTTATCTATTTCAGCAACAGTTACCAGTTACCACAGACTACTATTCTCTAACATTATGGTTCATCGTTCCAAAAAGTAGTGCAGTAGCAATTTGGAGCCAAATTAAGCAATAATATTTATTCTAATATTGTTTTGTAATTGAAAGGAAATTTTGTTCCTACATCAAACTCCAACACTCAAGAAAAACGTGATTACAATAATCATTTCTCAGTATATTACTATTTTAAGCATTTTATATTCTCTTGGCTTATATGTATTATGATATTCTTATCAAGGTTTTTAAGCATACACATGTATGATAAAGAAGTCTATCCCTAGAGAATTAAGGCTGAGGTTAAGTATGGACTTCACGGGGGTTTGGAGAGCTATTAGAAACTTATGACCCAAGTTAGAACCAAATTTACATATCAAGGTGGGGGATGGAAGGAGAAGTAGATCTGGTGGGATGTATGGATCAAACAAACCCCCCTAAAAGACTTGTTTCCTGATCTATTTATTTTGTGCACCAATTCTGAGGCAATGATCAGTCATTGCTGGACAGAACAAGGTTGGAATCTCTATTTCAGAAGACTACTAAATGATTGGGAAATAGAGAGAGTAGCCAAATTGTTGGAGGAAGTGGGGGATTTTGCAGGCACCAATATTGCCAATGATGTTGTTAGATGGTCTCATTGTAAGGATGGTATATTCACAGTTGACGGGGTATATAAAAAGGAGTGCAACTCGCAAAGTAGCAGATACCGGAATGCATGGAAAAATGTCTGGAGGACTGCAGCACCAACAAAAGTTAAGTGCTTTACTTGGTTGGTCATTAAAAAGGCATGCTTGACACATGAAGTCTTGAGGAAGAAAAGAAAGATCATACTTCCTTGGTGCTCTTTATGTGGGAAGACAGAGGAAACTAATAGTCACCTATTCTTACATTGTACTTTCACAACACAAATATGGTTCATGTTTCTCAACTTTTCAAAAGTGAAATGAACTATGCCAAAACATACAGCTGATTTACTTACTTGTTGGATCAGGAGAGGAGGTAGCAAGAGACAGAAGACCTGGTGGAATTTGATTCCACATTGCATCTGGTGGCCAGTGTGGAAGGAGAGGAATAGTAGGAATTTTGAAGATATATCCAATTCCATTCACAAGGTAAAATGGAATTGCATTGTATCTCTATATTTTTTGTGTAAAGAGATAGGATTAGAAGATTCGGATCAACTTTTAGAATTCTTGGGATCCTTGTAACTATTATGCTTTTTGTTCTTTTTTTATTTTCTAAAGGTCCCCAGCATATCCTTAATGTTGAAGAATACAATGTTACCAATTCTCAAAAAAAAAAGTATGGACTTCAAACTTGTATCTACATATTAGGTTATATTTGTTAAAGAATAAGTCTATTATGAGCTTAACAATTTTCTTATCATAATTTATTTACACAATGAGAATATCATTCCTCAAGTAGTTTAAATTTAAGGGAATTAAATAACCATTAATCATACTTGCCCATCATGAAATAGGGCTAGCCGCTAGGATCCAATACCACATACTTCTAATCTTCTTTTTAGTTCCTTTATATTTTCCTTTTGCCTTGGGCAACAAATATAAATCTAAACTACACAAAGGAATAAAGAAAATACTGGCTCTAGCAAAGAACTGCCTACATATGGAGAAATGTGAGACCCTCAGAAATTGCCTAGAAAATTACTCATTTCATTTGTGCCAAGACATTATATTCGAGTTGGAATATGCAAATTATTTATTGAGCTTGCATGCATGCATCCTTAAAGTATATGCTTTAAAACAATGGAGCATTTTTTTGTAAATTACTTGTAGCTAGACATTACATTAAAAGCTATGTGGGGGGGGGGGGGGGGGGGGGGGGGTTTCTGAAGTCTTTCACGATCTTGTTTTCCTCATCACTCAAAATGAACAAACGTTTTTCATATGCCATCAGCACAACTAAATCTATTCAAGTGCTTGTGCAAACTTTCTTCTTAGACTGGAATAGATTCACAATCAATTCTGAAGCAAACTTTCCCTCTTCCACATATGATGTATTTTCTTAATTTGACTTATGGCGTTGTAACTAAGAGAAGAGTCTATAAGATCAGTTGGTTAGTATTTGTTTTTGAGAATCTGGTCCCACAAAACATTTAATGTTGTATAAAATACATAGAACTATCTGCTGAATGAAAATACACTCCAGTTTGGGACTGAACAAAAATGGAAGCAAAACTTTCTTTTTTGGAACCTAAAAAAGTATATACTAGTATTGAGCAATATGCAAAATCATTTAAAGGGCTAGCATAAATTCATAGTAAAATGTCCATTTTTCTTTTATCAAGTTTTAAGAAATATATTCATTTACAAAGGGAAAGGGCTCCCACATACAAGAAGTAGACAAAAAAATAGAGATCCATAGTAAAATGTTCACTAAAATTCTATTTCTCTCTCTCTTCCCCTCTCTCTCCTATTTTGTACTGCATATCAATCACCTAAAATTCTGACAACTATACTCCAAAGATTTTCTTCAAAATATTTTAATACTTAGTACTAGAAACCCTATACTCACTTGTGGGATTACACTGCAGCTCCTAGCCGCTAGGCCATCTCTTTGGAGATTTGTTGGAGATCATTAACTAAAGCAATTGCGAGGTACTATATATACACATGCTCTCAACAGTCTTTTCTCACGACGTAATAAGTGACATCTCAAACGAGGATGGGAAAGTTGGACTCTTCTTGGATAATTCTTTCTAAAATAGAGGAGATGGAGTAAACATGAGACAACATTTTCTCATTCTCTGTAAGGAACATAGAACATCAGGAAGGATTTGCTTCTCTGGTAAGCTATCAACACAGGGTCCCACCAGCATACATACCAGGAACTGCTGCAGCTGAGATCAATCCAGTGGTTCATAAATTTAATGAAGAAAAAAAAAAGATGATTTATAATGAGTAACATTCTAAAATCATCATTTTAGTATTGGCCAATCAAGAACTCACACGTCCAAAAGTTGAAAGTAGCGGAAATGAGGATGATGTGATGGATGTATGGGCATACTAGGAAATATAGGATTAGAAATGAGGATATTCGTGGACAAGGTGCAAGTGGTCCCTGTGGTGGACAAGATGATGGAGGCGAGGCTGAAATGGTTTGAACATGTGAAGAGAAAATGATCAAATGTCCTAGTGAGAAGGTGTGAGAGGTTGAATAAGTTGGTTCTAAGGAGAAAATCGAGATAAACCGAAGAAGTATTAGAGAGAGGTGATTAGATAGGACTGCACAACTGCAGCTTACCGAGGACATGACCTTAGATAGGAGAATATGAAGGTCAAGGAATAGGGTAGAAAGTAGTAGATAGTCGAGGTGTCTAGTTTTCCCTATCAGTATTATTGTTGTTACTCTTGTACCATCTTATTCTTCGATTTATTTTACCTATTGTTTTTTTTTTAATAACCGAGAAATCCGTCTGTGACCTGCCCTTTGGACCAATCACAGCCTTCTAAACTCGGTGGATAATGGGCCCGCCCCTCTACCCTTCTTCACTTAAATACCGGGCTTAGCTTTGCATGGTGTGGGGCTTGAACCTGCGACCTAAGCCACAAATCCTCACCTTTTGCCACTTGAGCTAGGCCTTGGGGGCTATTTTACCTATTGTTTTTATTACCTTTTGTTTAGGTTATCATATTATTTGTTATTGTTACTGTTCTTTTCTCCATTATTTTCAACATGGCTTCTTCACTACATTTTTTTTTAAAAATTTGGTAATGAACTTCTTCACTACTATTTCCTTTTCATTTTTTTTAATGTGTTACTTATGCCTGGGGACCTTTAGAAACAACCTCTCTACCTTCACAAGGATAGGGGAAGGTTATGCACAGTTGTACACACTACCCTTTCCAAACTCCACCCACTTGTCTATACAGGGTATGTTGTTAATTTTAGTGCATAACTGGCAAGTTGATTAAGATTTTAAATGTGACATCCAACCATCAAAAGAATTCATTGAGGCAAGATAGGAGTGTAAAATTAACTTTATCCCTAAAGCAGCTAAAGTGACATGAAGGAGGATTTCAACAACTACTCGATGCCGTACCGTTATAAACTATGGGAGGAATCATTTAGCCTTCTTGGAAGCTTATTCTTTAACGAGAAGTATATACATGCAAAACAAAAATAAATAAAAAAATAACAACCTTCCAAGTTACAACTACTTTCCAAACACTCAAACCACTGGAAACCTTGTTTGTCAAAGTGGCAGTTTTGTAATTCCTTATACCTGACAGATGGTATCATGGGACTTCGACTACTGTATAACTTAGCGTCCTCCCATTAATAGTACCTTTTTATCAAAGAAAGTTATTTTGATTCATCCAAGTAAAAGGGTAAGCAACACCTAGTACAGTGTATGCGACTGCAAGGTTATTAAGCAAGTTAGCAGTCCATGTCCATGTTCATTCTAGTATACGTGGAGAAATAGCAAAGACAATTTTTTTTCCAGTGAATTATTTTGAAAAATTTCAATATAACAGAAACTCAAAATTCAATTGCCTTTTTCACTCAATATAAACTAAGTTGTCATGCTTAACTTTGGTTAGTCAAAATCGATAAACTAGCAAAAGGAAAAAAACTCCCAGACAAAACAAAAGGACAAAGAGTAAATTTAGAAATATTAAATTTGCTTGACGAAAGATGAATTAAGAGGCTTGCCACATATCCAAGGTTCATCACTTGTCAAAACTGAGTCCTCTACCCCCGCACATTTAGGGTGATAAGCTTTCAAACATCCCCTGCAAAGTTGAAAATATATTGTTTAGTAGAAGTCCATGTAGAGAAAGAATCACCAAGTAAAAATAACTGGAACACCTAATGAATACCATTGCAGAGTACCTAGCCAAAAGAAAAAAAGCTAACCCAAACAAAGACTACCTAGCTAATTGCTAGGCCATATAGTGCTTATAGCAAATTTTTTCTGAAGCTTTTAACCAAAATTGTAAACATAAGAGCGGTGCTCATCTCAAAAGATGAAAGACCAGAAAGTAGAGCGTGAGGTTAAGGAATTATAGAATTTTTTTCGTGCTTCATATAAGTCAAGTTGACATCAGTGAATCTACAACCTTTTTCCTCCTTAGAAGTAAAGTTGACAGTAGCGGGGATCTATAGACTTTGTGTTCCATAGAAGTAAAGTTGACACATTCCTAATAAGGATATCCCAGCTGGAAACTGACTGTTCACTTTTTTTTATGATGACCGTGGTGTTCGGGCTAGTATTAGCACACCTCAACTAGTTTCATAGGATACCTGCCACCTCCCACCAACAATAGATACCAGGTATCTCTATCCACCAAGGGTAGGACAAATGGAAAGAATCACAGTGTTTTTTGTCTCCGCTGAAATTTGAACCTGAGACTTCATGACTTTCAACCACTTCATTGACTACTAGGTCACACCCTTGGGTGCAAGTTGTATCTATTTTCTTATATACATTATTATATTTTTAGGATTACAAGGAGCCATCTAACAATGTTTGCATGCAAGCTTGCTTTTATCCAAGAATTTTCTGTGTTATCAAACAAGAAAATAACCTTTCCCCAAAAAGCCAACAGTAGTTGTTACTCCATCCTTTCTTTTTTTACTTGTCCACCTTAAGAAATAATGATTGACATGATATCACAATATCCGCATTAATTGATATTCAGTCTTAGAGTTTGTGAAATGATTTAGAGGTAATTAATGTTAAGGGTAAAATTTGCATGGCCCTTAAGAAATAATGATTGACATTAATATTTTACCACAATACCAATATTAATTGATATTTAGTCTTAGGTCGTGGGAAATGATTTGGAGAATAAGTAATTGATGTTAAGAAAAACATGAAAGAAGTATGTTTTTCTCTTAATAGGCTAAAAGTAAAAAGTTAAGAAAAAAATATTTTTAGTATAGCGCATAAGTAAAAGTGAATAGAGAGAGTACACATGGGAAAAAGAACAAAATACAAGTTTTTTTTTTAATAACGAGAAATTTTGAAGAGTTGGCTAAAACCAGCACTTACAGATGACCAATCATTGGAGAAACTAAACTTAAGACCTCAAAACACATTTATGGTACTTTTTGGGGGTAAAAATATTTATTGTATCCATTGTTCACAACAAATAAATGAATGGACAACATGTGTCCTTTTAACCATCATTTATAACTGAGTTAAATTGCTTATTTTGATATATGTCAGAACCATGAAAATATTCTATAGCATATATGTAAATATAGTAGGTGGTTTGATTTACTCTTAGATTTACTCCTATCTAATTAGGTATTGATTTCCTTTTTTAGGACATGTACACTTAGCTATTTAAACCCCAATAGCTTGTGGAAATAACCAAGTTGAGTACTCTAACAAACTCTTGTTTTCTCATATGGTACCAACACTTTATTTAATTAGAAAGCAAGAATAAAATAAGAGTACAAAATTGCTGATCATTTTTCCAGCAAAACCTCCACTGTTCCGTGATTCCGAAACTATCCAGAGATATTGTGCATATACTAGTACAACCATTATAATCAGAATCCTCGCGTGTGGTGTTCTCCACCCACAAAAATACGACCCTATTCATTAAATATTTTTCCCGATTCCGATGATTTTCCGACAGTCAAATCTATTTTTATGGTGAGACAGCAAGCAGCTTATAAGATCTATTCTTCAAGTTCTTTTCCAAAATTTAATTTTTTTGGACACAAAAAGATTTGTTTCCATGTCTCTCGGATCTGATATGTTTAATACTAAATCCATGGGCTCCAGTAACCCTTAAGCTGAATCCACTGGTTATCCAACCAATCAACTGTTCTCTTTGCCTAAGGTAGAATACACTGACTTTCTTTAGTATTGAGCGAGTAAGTAGCCATCTTCATCAACAGCTTCTGTTGCCCAGATTGATAATCGTGTTGTTTGTATCTTACTGTCCACCACACTTGGCCATTGGATCATGGACTTAAGCGCTTCAGATAACATTTCTGGTAACAAATCTTTATTGTCTAATATTACTTGCTCTCAGTCCCTTCCCACTATTATGTTAGCTAATGGTTCCCAGACTATGGCAACCGGAGTTGGTCAAGACAATCCCTTACCCACCTTGACTCTAAATAATGGTTGTCCCTTTAGCCTCTTGTCAATAAGTCGTTTGGCTGAGGCATTAAATTCTACACATAATCAGATGTTTAAAAACAAAGAATCTTAATCATTCAATGTACAGATCTACAGAAGAATCATCCGATTGCGCATTCAAATTCAGACGTCTTAATCTTAATGAAAACAAATGAGGCTTCGGTCTTTGACTCTCTAGATTGAATTCACAGACGATTGGGACACCTTAGTTTGTCCAAACTTAAAAAATTAATACCTAGTTTGTCAAAGTTATCGAAGTTAGATTGTGAGTCATGTGTATTAAGGTGTTAAGGTGTGTATTACTACACCTATGAATTTCTAGGTATTAGTAACACAATGGGTTTAATGCATGCATTAACATAGTTAAAGATCCAATTATCCCTGAAAACTATTTTTACATCTTTTCCACCATAATTGTGAAGATATTTTTGTAAATAAATATATAGAAATAATCTATGTATAATTAATCTATTTCTTAATCTATAGAAATAATATAATTACTTCTTAATCTATAGAAATAATATAATTATTTCAAAATCTATTGAAATAATATAATTATTTCTTATCCAAACAATGTATAAGAAATAATCTATGTATAATTAATGCAAACATAACTAATACAAGCATTACTAGTATACTCTATTTAGCATTATTTTTATACACTCTACCAAACAACCCCTTACTTTCATTGTTGATTACTCAAGGTGCACTTGTTTGTTCTTAATGAAAGATCATTTTGAATTATTTTCCATTTTCAAACTTTTTGTGCTAAATAAAAAAACCAATTTAGTGTTTCTATTAGCACCTTTCGCAGTGATAATGCATGTGAATATTTATAATCTCAATTTAAAAAAAATTATTTCTTCCTATGAAATTTTTCATAAAAAACCTCATCCTTAAAGTACACAACAAAACTGGGTCGCTGAGAGAGAAAATAGGGAAATTGTTGAGACTGCATGCACTCATCTCATTCAAGCAAATGTTCCATTGCGCTTTAAAGGGAATGTAGTGCTCACCTTTGGTTATCCAACCGTATGCCTTCAATTGCTATTCAAAATCAGGTTCGACACTCTATTTTGTTTCACCAGTCAACCTTATTCTCTTTTCCACCACGCATCTTTGGGAGCACATATTTTGTCCATATACTCGCTCCAAGAATAGACAAATTAGCTCCTCTACTCTTAAAAGTGTTTTTCCTAGTTATTCAAGGGTATTGAAAGGATATCGATGTTGCTCACCTGACCTCTAGCAATACCTTATGTCTGTTGATGTTTTTTGAAGTTCAACCCTACTTTACATCTTTTTTTGTTGAATAATTAGGCATTTATGAGGTTCTACTAGTTCTATCTTTAAGGGATACCGCCACAGTCTATCCTTCTATGTCATCATCTATAACTCCATCTTTCTCCCTGCACCTCTACTACTATTGACCTATCATTATTGTCCGTGCACATATGATTCTTGCCCGCCACCGGAATCCTTGCCTACTAAGGACTGGTCTATACAGAGTTCTTTTATTGTCATTCGTAAAGGTAATTGCTCTACTCATAATCTCACCCTATACTTGTTTAGGCTATCATCGTTTATCACCGACCTATTCTGCCTTTGCATCATCACTATCAGTTGTGGCTACTCCTAAGACTATAGGTAAAACTTTTTGTCATTCATGCTGGTAACAAGCTATGATTGTGGAGATGTTTGCCTTACACTCTAGTGGTACTTGGGAGCCTGTACCTCCAGATGAATCAACAATTGGTTGTCATTGGGCATATACAATGAAGGTTGGCCTATGGATAGATTGATCACCTAAAAGTGGCCAAGGGTTATACACAGATTTTTGGTCTTGACTATTGCGATACCTTTTCTTCTGTGACCAAGATTGCTTTAGTCCATTTCTTTTTATCCATAGTGGTTGTGCATCATTAGTCTCTCTATCAATTGGATATTAAAAATGTTTTTCTTTATGGAGATCTCAAAGATGAGGTACATATAGAGCAACCATTTGATTTTGTTACTCGGAGGAAGTCTAGTAACATGGTGTGTAGACTACGACGAGCCCTTTATGGCTTGAAGCAATCTCCTCAAGCATGGTTTGGGAAGTTAGCATAGTTATTGGGGAGTTTGGCATAGTACGAAGTGTAACTGATCATTATGTGCTTTATTGTCACTCTGCTCCAGGTTTGTGCATGATTGGTAGTGTATGTTGATGGCATAGTTATCACAGGTAATAATGAGGAAATTACTGAATTGAAACATCACCCTTTCCAACACCTTCATACTAAGGATTTTGGTCGATTGAGGTACTTCTGGGGCATTGAGGTTGCTCAATCCAAATCAAAAATTGCCTTTTCACAAAGGAAGCATGCACTTGATAGTCTTGGAGAGAAAAGGATGACATATTGTAGCCCCAGTAATTCTCTAATGGATTCAAATGTTAAGGGAAGCCTCTTAGCGATCCTAAAATATATATAAGGCAAGTAGGAAGGTTGTATTATCTTAGTGACTCGACCTAATATTACCTTTCCTGTTAATGTTGTAGGTCGGTTCTTAAATTCTCCTTGTAGTCACTAGAATGCAATTATTCGCATCATTTGAAACATAAAATTTGGTCCATGGAAAGAATTACTTTCTGAAGGCCGAGGACATGAGAAAATTGTTAGATATTCATATTCAGATTGAGCAGGTTCCCCTTTGACAGACGATCCACTTCTGGATATTGTGTTCTAGTCGGGGAAAATTTGGTGTCTTGGAAAAGTAAGAAATATATGTGGTTGCTAGCTCTGGCCTCTGTAGAAGTGGAATATCGTGCCATGATAGTGTCAACATTTGAACTCATATGAATCAAGCAACTACGGAAAGAGTTAGACATTTGGAGATACAAACGGAATGGAACTTGTGTGCGATTATGAAGCTACACTTCACATTGCATCAAATACAGTGTTTTACGAGAGGACCAAACACATAGATATTGATTGCCATTTTTCGGTGAAAAGGTACACTTAGGAGACATCGTCACATGGTTTGTGCAGTCAAATAATCAACTTGCATACACATTCACCAAGTCCCTAGCCGGTCCCAAAACGAGTTATGCATTTAACAAGTTTGGTACATATAATTTAGATGTACCAGCTTAAGAGGGAGTGTTAGAATCCTAGGAATATTCTATAGCATATATGTAAATATAGTAGATGGCTTGATTTACTCCTATTTTAATTAGGTATTGATTTATATTGATTTCCTTTCCTTTTTAGGACATGTAAACTTAGTTCTTTAAACCCCATAGCTTGTGGGAATAATCAAGCTAAGTTCTCTCACAAACTCTTGTTTTCTCACCATATACAATCAGGTACTGTAATATTTTATCCAAGAACCTAGGGTTCTGAGAAAGATAATGTTTCCACACAAATCGACCACCAAGAAGAGGGGCAATTTGTAAAGAGGGAACATGTGTTCTTTTCAAGCCAGAAAAAAAAAATAAAGCTTCCAAACGATGTCTACGTTTTCATCCAGAAAGCAAAGACCGAAAAGAAAAGAAAAATGTAGTTTTTATATTCAGACAAGCTCGGGAGTATCTCCGTTTGTTCAAAATAAATTGGTATTTTTAACCAAAGGACTTGCCCATAATCGGACAAGAGGAGTTGCTCGGATGGTAAGAGTACCTTCCACCTCCAAGTCAGTAAAAAAAAAAGACTTACCCATTATCACAAATCATGAGCTCTCCTCCATCTTTACATTGAAAACACCAATCTTCTGCAATTTCGTTTTTGTTGAAAATCCTCCTGCCGCTGTTCTCCGCCATTTATAGCAGAAGGGTTTCTTGAAAATAAATTACCAGATGCCTGCTTCACTGTAATCAAGAAAAGCACCTTATTTAGTTCAGATAATCAAGACTAAAATGCAGATATGGCAATTCTTAGGGTATATCTTTTTCCCTTTTAGAAAAAAATCAGTAGAAAAATTATACACACTAACTGATAAAGAAAATCAAAGCTTGATTAGCCCAAAAAATGAAATACCCATGAGCAAAACATACAAGAAAAGAAGGCTCTCTTACCACAAAATTCTAAAAAATCCCAAAAATCATAACAAAAATTATAGATTTCAAACCCTTATGGCACCCATTAACCTAAAACAGCGAATGCCGTTTTAATCAATTGAAAGAAGTCCACAAAAAAGAAGATTTATTTGACTGAAAAAACAGATCTACGGGAAAAGTTTGTACCTTCTTCAACAGAAAGCTTGAAACTTTTGCTCATCAACAACATCAACAATTGAAGAGAAAATTGGGGGTTAAAAAATAAGAGAGATTTTCTGAATAGGCTTTTCAATAGAAGAGAGTCCTGTTAGAGAAAGTTTTATTTCTTGGGCTCTAGAGGAATCTATTCTTGGATTAAAGGTATGAGTTACATGTGAATTGCTGAATTATAAAATTTAAATTATTCTTTAATAATTAAATTATAAAATATTGTTATTATTCCTAAACTATAATACTTTCTATCTAACATATCCTGCAATGCCAAATAACCTAATTTATCCTTTGACCTTTAATTTGTCAATAGACATATTCTTGGATTCCTAAACTTATCCTTTATCTTTCATCAAATGTAGGGCAATGACGAAAAGAAAAAAGATGGTGAAGACATGGACGAAGAACAAGAGGAGAAGATTGAAGAGGAAGATAATAATTTAGTGATGACGGAGAGTGCAATCAAGTATGTGGAAAATCCCTCTGCTTCCCTAACATGACAGCCATATTTAAGGAACTTGAAATCAGAATAATTTGTGTTCCTCTAGATTGAATTATACTTGCATTGCTTGCCAATTGTTTGTATACATAGATCAACATCATTAAGTGACACTCTCTATAAAGTATGTATTGAGCTTATGTCTATTGAAACTCTTGAACAATTGTACAGAATCTTTATGATTACGATGAAGACGACTACAACTTGAATGAAGATAATTATGGTACGGTCCAATTTGCAGTTTCTTTTCTTTCTTCTTTTATTTGATGCAGCGGTATTTGTTACTTCTTATTTCCTTTTTGCAATGCCTATGGATCAATACTAAACAACTTGTGTTGCAAATGAACCCATGTATTGAAGGTTGCTTGGTGGAGTGGTCTGTGCATGCCTTTGGAAATTTTTCGCAAAGATGGAATTCTTTAATCACTATTATTGGACTTCTACAAAGCTCGTAGGCCTAGTAAATTAGCAACAACTACTTAATTTTGGGCAATCAAAAAAGAATAGTTTCTTGTTGTGTCATAGGGATTATCAATAGATCAACGACCTACATAGTAATTTAAAGACTTTTTCTTTGTAATATGGATGCTCCATTTGTAGTTATACATATTTATTTAAAATAGATTTCGGTTGATAAAACTAATGCATATCGGGTGTTTATATCAAGTCAATAGATGTACGCATGTATTTGTATATAGAGTTATTTCACTTAATCATATATATATATAGTATGACACCCTAATTTAGGATAAGAAGTCTCACATCGGTAAAGCACACGAGAAATGTTGGGTATATAAGTGAGCAGGCCTTACACACTAGTGACACATTTTAAAGCAATATGGGTCTAGACCCACATTGCGACAATATCACTAGTGGACTGGGCCGTTACAAATGCTATCACAGTCACGTCTCTGTTTGCCTTGTCAATATGGACCAGTTAAAAAGACAGCAAACCTCAGTGCTGAACCTAGGCAAATCCCATGCGGCGGAGCAAACCTCACCGAGGAAGCTGAGTTCATAAGAGGGGGTGTCACATACACTCCAACTTAGGATAGATGTTGGATAAATAAATAAGCAGGTCTTACACACTAGTGACACATTTTTAAGTCGTATGAGTCTAGGTCTACAACGGACAATATCACTAATGGTTGGGCCGTTACATATGTACATATATTTCTCTATTATATAAGAGCGAATTTGAGGAGTTTAGGGTCAGTTGATCAATTAACCGATTTTTCCTTCTCCTCAAATTTCTTCTATTTATATTTAGTATTTCTTCATTTATTTTTATTTTTAGTATATTATGTATTTAAAAATTACGTAAAATTAATATTATTATTTATTTTAATTTCCTTTTTAGTTATTATGCATTAAAAGATTACAAAAACATAATACTATAAATTACAATAGTTAACAACTTAAAAATTGATTAACTCTCGAAATTTCACCCGTACCACATAAATAAAAGAGTGAATAGATGAGCTAAGGATCAGTCAGTGAATTGGTCGATTTGCCTTTCTCCTTCAATTTCCTCTATTTATATTTAGTTCTTTCTCTGTTTTAATTTATTTGTCTTACTAGTACGCTATGTATTTTAAAAATTATGAAAAAAACAATATTGTAAATCACAATAATCAACAACTTAAAATATTTAGAAGCACATAGAAATTTAGTTGACTCTCAAAATTTCACTTATGCCACATAAGTTTGGACCGAGGGAGTAACATATATTATTTGAAAATTATGCTGAAAATATTATAAATCACAATAATTAACTATTTAAAATATTTTTAAAATATACTAAAAAATTGATTAACTTTTGAAATTTCGCGTATTCCACATAAATTGAGACAGAAGGGGTAGCATATATTATTTGAAAGTTACGTTAACTAAGAGTTCCATAAATCGCAATACTTAATAACTTAAAATATGTTTTAAAATATATTAAATATTGATTAACTTTCAAAATTTTACATGTGCCACATAAATCACAATAATTAACAACTTCAAATATTTAAACAAATATATTAAAAAATTTGATCAACTCGCAAAACTTCAGATGTGCCACATAAATCACAATAATTAACAACTTCAAATATTTAAGGGAAAAGGGTTCGAAATATATCCAAACTTTGACCAAAATTGCTATAACAATCCCAAACTTTGGGCAGGACCTATTACCCCCTGCACTATTTAAATGTGTCCATGTGGACATCATAAATATTGCATCATTATAAATAGTAACTTGTCCAGCTGCGCATTTATATATTTTTAAAATACACTATTAAATAGTGCAAGGGTAATAGGTCTTGCCCAAAGTTTGGGATTGTTACAACAATTTCGGTCAAAGTTCGAATATATATTTTAGACCTTTTCCCAATATTTTAAAAAATATTTTAAGAAATCAATTAACTCTCAAAACTTAACATGTGCCACAGATATTACTTGAAAAGTACGTTAGAAAAATTATAAAAATAATTAACAACAAAAATATTTAAAAACTTAGTTGCCTCTCCTAATTCTAGTTGTCACATAGAGTAAAACAAATAAAGTAATATATATTGGGCCCGGGCTTTTGTATCTAGTATATATATATATATTCACTTCATTAAATCACTTAATCATAGTTAGTTGATATGGTTTGGTGCCAGTTTGGGTTTTTTGAGCTTCTGGTCAGTGTACATATGATGTCATTGAAGATACAAAGTTATTCAATCATCTGCTTACTTAAACTTAATGGACGAGGTATTAGTAAGTTCACCTATTGCCATCAAAGCTATTGGATTTAAACGATATGGAGTATCGGTGTGCCTCTTTACAAGGGTGATCAATAAAGTATATCAAAATACCTTACAGTTGAATATTATTAAACTTAGCTTGCACATTAGATGTAACATGACTCATCAGGAGTGACTTCCTTTTATTCACTATGTGCTGGTTGAGCAGTATTATGCTCTCCTCAGTCGCTAGACACATGCCACACCTACTTGTCTGGATCCTCAGTTGCAACACTAGATTTTCATCCTTTTACCAACTCTTGCTATTATTTTTTTAACATGAAAGAACTTAGACAGAGAATGCCGAGATCAGTTGGAGAATACTAGTATATAGGATATTTCTGGCTATCTGATCAGACAGAAAGATAGATGTAATCTGATCCTTGTATGTATTCTTAAAAGGAATGCATGATGCTTTGAAGATAAATCGAGATGAATTGCGTTCTTTCAAAGAGAAATTTTAGGTGTGTTTCTATAAACATTTGGTGATAGTTCAGGTAGGAAATTTGCACACTTCAGTTATGGAACTCGAAAAAACTGGAATACTTTAGGTATGTTTTTGACCCTCACTCGTAAGAATATTAGTTTAGATCATTACCCAGAAAAAAAGTTATCCCAATTTAGTGACCTTAAAAAGATAACCAAGGCATAGAGCACCATAATTATTTAATTGCTGACAAACAGAAAATTGAATTACAAAGGGAGTAACTAGTGTTGGCAAATAACATCTCAAATCAATAACAGAGAGGGAAGATTAAGGTGCAAATGCTACACCCTTAAACACAAGATTAAATAGCATGTTTCCTGAGAAAAATAATAACCCCAAGGGCAATTCTTCAGATTTTACTACACCGCCACTATGTGATAGCAATAAACAATTCATCTTTCATGATATCTAGCATATCATGATTTGATTATATGCTATATTTGGAGATCATATTGGTGCAAGGATTAAATTTAAATTGAAAGATTGCACTTACTGGGTATCATCTCCTTCATATTTTCGCAAAAAACTCCCCAGAAGAAGAACGCAACTAACTCTGTTTTCGAAATACCCTTCGAGCATCCACCAAATCATTCTTCAAATAACCAAGCTCTTCTCATAAAATTGCATTCCCAATATACATATTCGATATTGCAATTCCTCAAATCTTGAAGAACACACCATAAATTCGCAACCCAAAACCCTACTGACCATATTTTTCCTTGATCTCAAACACTGCATAATTCTTCTACTGTAAAAACAATACTTTCCAACACTTTTTCTCGGAATAATTGCTGGGCAATTGTAATCGTCGGAGAAGAAAACAAATTGACAAATTAAAAATAAAAAGGGCTTATATATCCTCTAACTATTTAAATTGGTAATTTTTACCCATTATTATGTTTTTAGTTCAAAAACATCCTCACTGTTACCTATTTGGCTTAAAAATTCCTTCCAACTATCGAAATAACTTTAAAATGTTACTCTAATAACACAATGTATTAAGATAGTATTAAATTTAATTTATCTTATGATATAAATTTTAGAGAGTTAGTAAACTAAATTCATTATTATTAATGTAGAAAAATAAAGTTTAAATAACAATTTTAGAAAAAAATATGTGAGATCATCATAATCGAATATATATATAAAAAAAAAATAGAAGGAGAAGAAGAACTTTATATATCATTGTTTTTGTTGTTAAAATGGAAAATGTTTGTATTAATTATTTTTTAATATGTTATTATGTGATTCATGTATTGACCTCCTTATCCGTATCCAAAAAATTTTTTTTGTAGATATATTATTTAAAAATTAATCTTTAATGACATGACATGTCAATTACGAGGGAAAGAGATTTTTGGAGTGTTAAATATTTTTTGAGGAAAATAATAATAATTGAGTAATATTTTTGTCTTAAATAAAACAAAGATGATATTTGAAAGCAATTATTAAAACTTGAATGAACCATTTAAAAATTAACTTATATATTATGTATTTGAGAGCAAAAATTGTTAGAACTTGTTTACACTTTATTGCATCATTTTGTATTTTACAATATTATGGACTTAGATCAAAATAAGAAAGACTAGCCTAATTATTATGTTTTTATTTAATCAACTATGATCTTATCAATAAAAGTTCTCATAAAGCCTTATACATAGTAATATGAAGCATGACTCGAACTAGTGTTAAAAGTAGGAGAAATTAACTTTATTAATAATTTTTACATGTTGTTATAGTTCCAACAATTATAATTATGGCTCAAATTGAAATTCTTACAATATGTTTGTGATTCAAAATTGTTTTAATATGCATTCTATAACAATTGATATGAAGTACACATATAACAACGTGATAAAAAAACATTACCTTAAAAATTTTAAATTACTTATATTTTATCATTAGTCTAGTTTTTTTTTTTGTAATTTATCAAGTTTAGAAATTCCCCTTTTAGTGATCGACATGTCAAAATTGGGTCTTTTGGAAAAGCTGGATCAAAAGTCTAAGGTTAAAAACCTCTTCTAAAATATTTCCTTAAAGGTATTTTCACTCTAAATGCTTCGGGCGATGATGAAAAGAAGAAGAATTTATTAGGTGTTTGGTAGGATGGAAAACCTTTTTCTGAAAGAAAATATCTTTTCTAGAAAAAACAATTGATTTCTTAATTATTTTCTTGTATTTGAAATATAATTAAAATATATTATCGTAAAAGTATTTGTATATATCTAAGACCTATGAGGATAAGGTGGATAAGGTAAAGGGGGAGAATATGCATAACACAGGGAGATAAGTTGCATTAAGTTGAAAAGAGTACACCATATACCCCTTGATCCATTCTCATGAATCATCATATGATATAGGGTAAGAGCAAATGCAACTTCAAAATGCCTTCACCAGGCTTTCTTGAAACAACTAGAGCAGTCTGAAAAAAGTCTTAACTGGCTGTAATACAAATTACAAAGCTAGAACTGAATAGTCTTTGTAGCAACTAAAATCAAAATACCAAAGGAAAACCTGCAACAGATAGAAGCATCTTCCCTCCATTAGAGACGGGCTACCAACGTTCTCCAAGAAAGGTTTGACAACATCAATTCGACCAAGGAAGGAGAAGATGGGGAGTTGCACATAACATCATTACATCTACTAACAACCGGAGCAAGATGCTCCATCTTCCTGTTCAGATTTGAATGGCTCTACCTCTTCTGGAATCACTACAGGATTAGTCAACAGCTTAAATGATAGGTACCAAGGTTGCTGTAGGATGTGTCTTTTCTCCAGAGCCTGCGTAAGCGTAAACACCAAGTGGGTTAAGGAAACACTTCTCTTTCTTTGCAGAATGGACCAGGATGAAGAACAACGAGACAACAGTACACACAAACAAAATTAGGGCATGAAGGATGAGATGATAAAATTGGTGTACAAAGAAAGTCATGCTGGTGACCAAACACAAAAGCTAACTTCCGAATCTGAGCTAAATTTCCATCCTTGGGACTGGTTTGGTGTTCTGTCAAATACTATTAATTAAGTCACCAAAAAGAAAAACAAAAAAAAGGATATTGATCTCTCCATCCTTTCTCATTTGCACGATCAATGCGGTTCTGCAACAATTGCAGCTCTTGAGCAATATTCTGAATTAAAAGTGAAAGTGTCATCAGATATTTAGATGTTACCCAAGTATATTGATTAAAGATAAAAATAAACAGGTCGCTAATATTTTCATGTTACTGATATGGAAGCTGTAATCAGTTTACAGCATTTGATCTATGTTGCACGATAATATTTTGTATAATCATATGCCAATGGAGTAAAAATTCGTAGAGCTAAAAACTACCTGAATTAACAAGAAGTTCCTAAGGAAATAAATTATCCAAATCTAAAAGTAACTTGGTAAGATTGAAAACATACGTGCTTTGTGATGTCTTCATGAAGGATTTCAGCCTTTTGTTCAAGCTCCACCTGCAAATAGGAGAGTAAGTTTTATAATAGTACTAATGGAATTGGAGTTCAGCTGAATCATTAACCGGAAAACTCGAAGAATTGAGCTTATATCTTTTCAGAATTGTAGAAGAGTAAAACAAAAGCATCAACCCTCTAATAGCTCAATGAGCTAAACCATTTAATAGAGGTGACACACAATTCATAATGGTGTCGGAGCAACCAAAAAAAAATTGATTTGAGCCTAATTGAAAACTCCCTCATGGCTCAGGGAATATATCCATGCCGACAAGCGAATTATATCGAAGTATTCCCTTTCTAGTAGCTTAAGATTTTAAATGAAGTGGTACGAATTCAAAAGGACACTCCATATATAGAAAGAAGGGAACTAGAAAAGCACTGTGTTAAATTGGTAAACAGGAAGATACCCCCAGTATCTCCCACACTAGGCAAGAAGTGCACTGATCCACATAACCCACTATTGAATCATGTTGTTTGGCTGATCAGCGGTAGTGTTCTAGATGAACCCATTCACTGTTCAGTTATACTCTATTTTGCGACCTTTCCAATAATGCAATTCTAGATTGTCTTATGCTTTTGGAGAAAAAGAATATTCAAGTAACATGCGGATGATGGGAAAACACTTCTTTTGAGGTGGCAATGTAGAGTTTGCTAAAAAGAAAAGATGACAATGGGTTTCAGAGAGGAATGCATTTATTTAAAATGGAACACGATGATAAAGGCATGCTAGCAGGCACTGTTACTTGGTGAAGCCAAAACTGAGGACACTATCTAGTACATGGAATATTTAGTGCTAGAGACCATGACTTAAGAAACTAAACCATCAACTTGTTCGCACTACAGTGAGTCATTTTCCCATCAACAACTACAACAATATGGGACAACCGGACAAGGATTAGAAGAATAAGAGGATTGAGAATTCACTTGGCCACACCAGTATTCTCCCTTGATCAGAGTCCTTTCTAAAACTGGTTAAGAATTGAGTGCCACAAACCCAGCCAGGTTCTACTAGATCCTTCCCACCAGAGGGGTCACATGACAGGACATGAAGGATACATGAATATGACCAAGGGTAGTCACTCTTAGGGGAAGGATGAATCCTAGAGCAAGGCAAGAGAGCATGAGGTAAGTTGCAAGTAGCATGCTGCCTGAAGAGCTAGCATCCACTCAAAATCCTTATTACAAGCTCTACGGATATATAGCGAAAGAGAAATTGGGTTGTTCTAGAGGCAACCAGAACTTGCACCGAGCAGTGCCAACAGAGAGATCACTTTTTGGACAAGTCATTTTTTGGGGGTATATTATGCTGGAAATGATAGTCAAAACATATTAAAGCTTGAACTCATACAATAATATCTAAACTATGTTTCAACATAATAGTTATGTCAAACTGCAAGCAAAGAAACCTTACAATTGTTAGCTTTTTCAGCAAACCTGCTTTCACCTTCTCTCTAAAAACATTACATTCTTCCTGAGAAACAGAAGAAGATGTCAAAATACATTGAATTTCGGTTAACAACAAAAGCTTAGAGTGAAACCTATTTTAACGCTACTAACACCAAAATCTGAGACAACCAATGACAAAAACTTCTCGAAAAAAAAGAAGAGAAAACCTTTTATCTTTTAAAAGAGCAAATAAAAAATAACCAACATCCAAAAGTAACAACTTTTTTGCAGTATGCTTTGAGAAGTTTGGAATATAAACTAAGTAAGGAGCGACAAGTATTTGTACATGGCAAAACTTTGATCAAGTGTTGTGTATTTTTGCCCCCTCAAAATGAGCAGTACTGTAGACTTCAGAGCAGGCATACAAAAATATTCACAACTGTTTGCTATATATATAGTTGATTAGCTGAAAAATCATGTCAAATTAAAGGTAGAGTTTGCATAGACAGATGCCCCCAAAAGATGAAGTAGGTTACCTCAGAAATCTCAGCATCTGAAAGCTTGGTCAAGCTAACATCTCCAGCCCTATTGGATACTTGAATTGAACTTCCGCTGTTGCACGTATCGCTTGATCCAAGCTTGATCCCTGAGAACACTCCGTAAACAAGAACGATGTCAGTTTGAAAGCAAAATTGGTGATCAAGATTAAGATTTCAATGGGAAGTAATGTTCTATATTAAGACTTGGAAAATGAGAATAAGATTATGATCATTGCCTCACTCTCTCCATCCAATTTACTTGACCTACTTGCTTTTTTTTCTTCAAAATTTACTAAGCTTCTTTAATAGACCAATTATCATAATTCATCACGTCACATCATTTCATCAACATATTCCACTCTATTCACATATCAAATTTCTACTTCAAAATTTATCAAAATCTTATTTAATTTATATTATAGTAACCTATTTTAAATTTTCTCTAAACCTTTGAAGCTAGTCAAACTACGTTTTCTACTCATCTTCTTTGGGTTGGAGAGAGTAACCTTTTTAGTTTAGCAACGATCATCCTCCATCCTGAGAAGAGTGGTATGATCCGGAATCAACTCATTTGATCCTCTATGTGAATTGCGGCATCAACGTCGTATTATTTTAAAAATAGTATGTACACATTTGAAAACTAAATATTCATTACAGCTAATCACAAATATTATGGTAAAAAAATCTAACCAAATTATTTTAACACATCCTAGTCAAAGAAAGAAACAATATGACTCCACAAATAGTAATAGTATTATACAACATGGGCAGACAAAGTATAATATGTTATAAAGAAGGTTTATATAATCCAGAAAAATATAGAGGATGCTAAGAATAAACTCTTAGCTCAATATAAACAACACAACAAATACTAACCCAAAGGAAATTCAGTTCAGGGAAAGATGAATAAAATGAGTTACGATTTTCAACGTTTACTTCATGTGCTTGATTAGATTATTAATGTCATGATAACCACATAAGTGTAAACAAAGTTGGTTGAGAAAACATAATCATTTATTTTAGAAAAAAACAGGTGTTCTGGCTAATTGATGTCCAATAATCTAAAAACTCTATATGGAAGACATGAGCTTAGTGCAGCATTCAGACATATTCACAGCAGCCCAACGAGGGATGCTAGACATTTCAAGACAAATCAAAGAATGAAATCATTTGTTAAAACAACCTGTAATTTGCATAAGCTGATGAGAGTTACACTGCTCAGAATCACGTGGATCTAACTTGACCCGAACAAAACTTCCTATAATCTTGGTTTCAATTGACTCAGGTTGTTTGATCAACTCCATTACCAAGCTCTTCTTCAGGTAAATGAGATTGATATTTTCAGGAATCAAGGCTGCAAATTGACTTTGTGCTGCAGTTGAATACCAGTTTGAGGATATCTTGTTTTGTTCAACTTTTACCTCAGCTTTAGGAGCCACCAATATTTCTGTGTCATCGTCTTCAAGATCATCATCAAGCTCATCATTTTTTAATCGTTCCTCATTATCAACAAAATGGCTTTCGAGGAGGCTTAATATTTTGCATCTGTTTACCATTTTCTTCCCAAAAACAGCTTCTAACTGAACATCACAAAGGATCCTTGTCTTTTTAACTGGATGGATAAGGCTATGATCTTCTATATATTTAGTTACTATCGATGACACATCATATTTCGATAATTTTTCTCTGGTATCTTGACCAATAAACAGCAGAAAGTCAATTAGAGCTTTTGATCCCCATCCAACAAATTCTTGTTTCTTTGAATTGTTTTTACTTTGCATCTTTGTTTTCAGCGGTGTGCATCTTTTCTTTTTAAGCCTTTTTGTCTGAGGTTCTCCATCACCGAAATCTTCATTGTCCGAAGAAAGTTGTTCATCCTCTTTCTCACAACGTTTATCTGAATAAGAGTTAATTTGGCAAATCTTCTCCTTGTCTAGTTGAGCCTTACCAGCCAGAAGTTTATTTTTATCAATTCCTTCTTTTGTCTTTACTATCTGATAATACTCCCTGAAAAGACCCTCGTATGTTTCGTGATCTCTGAGGTCTACACTTTCCTGGAAAGCAACAATTGTTCATAGGAGAAATGGAACAGATGACTCATCAACTAGAGGAAAAATAAAGCAAATAAGAAAATAGACATATCAAGCAATACAAGAAAGACAAATCTAACTGACTATTGCCAATAAGATAATAGTGATAAAAACAAAACACATAATCTCACATGATAATATCCACCCATATTTACAGGAAGCCTAGAAGAGATGAAACTTTTAAAATTTCCATAAAATACAGCAAACATTGAAAATTGAACAAGAAACTTAGTCTTTTTACATTTATAATCTTTCACTTTTTCTGATCACAAATGAATATTTTGTTTTAAAGAGAAACAGATAGCACATCTCATACTCTCCTGCTGTCAAACTTGTTGCCTCTCAAGGTTCTTTAAATACATGGCTTCATTTATCTGTCTATCATGAATTTTAACATAATTATACATCAATGTTGTAAAGCGTCATGCTATTAACTTTCAAGTTGTTTTCCTTGGCTAGTTCAGTTAATAGTTTCCATGACAGTTCTCTTTGGATTTGAAAATAAAAATTTCCAAAACAGTAAAGTAATTAATTAGTTAGTACTGAACCAAAAATTACAGTTTTAGAGTAACCAAAATAATCATGCATACCCCATCAGAATCAATATTCTTGTCTTCTTCCACATGCAATGCGAGCTTTAGGCAGTTATTGCATAATCCATTCTTCCCTTTCAGATGGACAAAATCGATTCGACCAATGCAGTGAGAGCATGCAGCTCTATCACAACAATAACATTGATAATATGATTTTCCATGGCAAATTAAGCATGTATGCCGTCCTGGAACACAGCAAAACTGGAGTTACTTTTCGCCCAACAATTTTTATTCTATGAAAGGAAAAAGCAATACATGACCAGTGAACTAACAAGACAAAACAAGCCAACAATATTTTTTTTATTTTTTTTTTATGACAAGGGAAACCTGCAGCCGCTACCCTTTGGGTGCGCATAGGGTAAAACCCCCGCTTCTATGCAATAGCTCGCAAACCACATAGGAGAGGTAACCTGCACTAGGCAAGCCCGGCACGACGAGCTTGACCCAGAAGGCAAACCCCTTGCTTTCGCTGGCAAGGGGTTTCGAACTTGAGACCTCCAACATGAAAGTCCCAAGCCCAAACCACTGGGCCACCCCGAAGGGTACAAGCCAACAGCATTAAAGGACTCAAACTTAAAATATTTGAATGCAATCTACATTAAAACCAATTGGGGTGTGGCCTTCCGTGAAGCCTGTGTGAATGCAAACATTCTTCTTACAATGAAATGTATTCACAATGAATTCTGAAGTAAAATCTTCCGCCTCCCCATCCTGATGTATTTTCCTAACTTGACTTTTGGAGTCATAACTAAGAGAAAAGTGTATAAGATCAGTTGTTAAGTATTTGTTTTTGAGAAGCACGTGAGATCATATATTAGCTTTTATTTTATTAAGGAGTGGACTAAGGAAAACTGTTTTGACCTGGGTAAATGTGGTCTGACAAAATATTTAATATGTATAAAATACATAGAACTATCTGTTTACTGAAATTAAACTCCAGGGACTGAACAAATATGGAAGTAAAACTTTCTTTATTTTAGAACCGAAAAAGTGTATATTGATATTTAGAAAGATGCAAAGTCATTTAAAGGATAAATATTAAGAGGCTTGCCACAAATCCAATGTTTATCACTTGTCCAAACTGAGTCATCTTTCTCCACACATGCAGGGTGATAAGCTTTCAAACATTTCCTGCAAAATCAAAAATATATTATTTAGTAGAAGTCCATGTAAAGAAAGAATCACCAAGTCACAAGGTGAACGTCAGCAACAAAGGTAATCAGTCACAGCGCACAGTGAACTTCCTTCACTCATTGAGTTACGAAAAAGAAAGGAAGGAAATTGCGAGTAAATGAACCCCACCAAACTGAATTTCATTTTGTACAAGGATTGTGTAGTGAAAATTACTTACATTTGTTAAATTAGAAAGCTTGCTTGTCATTACTTAATTATAGACTTTTTTATGCTTCATAAACGTCAAGTTGACATCAGTGAATCTACAGATCTGGGTTTCATGGAAATCAACTTGACATTAGCAAATCTATAAACTTTGTGTTCTATCGAAGTAAATGTTCCCCAAAATCCAGGTGAAAACCACCAAGCAAAGGGGATATTTTGACCTTAAATTGGAAAATGCGTCCTTTTCGAGCCAGAGAAAGAAATTAAAAATGTTTCAAAATGATGACCATGTTTTTAGTTATTCCATCAAATATACCAAAAATAAAATTGATTTTTTTAGCAAAACGACTTACCCATAGTCACAAATCATGAGCTCTCCACCATCTTTACATTCAAAGCACCAATCTTCTGCAAGTTCTTCTTTGTTGAAAATCTTCTTGCCCTTCTTTGTCGCCATTTGTAGCAAAGACCCACTTCACTATAATCAAGAAAATTCCCATGTTTAGTTCAAATGATCAAAAGTAAAATGCAGATATGGCAATTGTTTGGTGTAATTTTTTTTCCCTTTTAAAAAAAAATAGGGCAAAATGGTCTGGTGGACCCTTATACTTGTATGCGTTTGTATTCCGAACCCTCCTACTCAACACTTTGTCAACTAAATTCTTAAACTCGTTAAAACACTATATTTTAAACCCTTTTCTCATCAGAATATTGTGTGTGTAATCCAATCTCTTACACTGATCCAATTACCAGTAATCGAAAGGATAATATCAACTAGAAGGATGAACCTCGAAAGAAGAAGATAGTTATATCAGGGCAATTCCGAGATAAAAGTTAAGAAAGAACAGAATAAAAGAGAGAAGAAGAGAACTATTATATATCATTCAATGCCTTAACAATTGTATTAAATCTCTATTTATAGAATTGAATTGGAAGCTAAAGCTACAAGCTAACGAAATAGCTGCTCTAACAAATTCTAACAAACAGTGAACAGTAATTACTGTTGTGGTGACTAATGACCAGTAATAACTACTATTTAATATTCCTAATCATCTAAGCATTGTATCATACACATGTAATTCCATGTCATTTTTCAATGACACGTAAGAAATTAAATATTAAGAAAATAAAAAATCAAATATTTAACTTTGAGAAAATGGTCTAACCCCCCCCCCCCAACCTATACCCGAAATCCCAACTACACACTCCAACTTTACGAGTGTCCTATCACCCACCTGAACATTTTATTTGTCTATTTACTACACACTTGAGTGCTGACCTGTCATAGGAGGTGAGAACACCTCCTCTAGGCGCGTGAGAAGAGGCAAAAGTGTACTTCTCCAACGGTCATCTTCCCCAAGTTAAATAAACCATTTTTCCTTCTTCCCCACCATTAACCCTTGTTCCTTTTTTAAAAATTTCACGATTTTCTTTCAATTTAAGGTAGGTTTTAGTTGTTTATGTTCATTTCTACTTTAAATCTTGAAGTTAGGATTTGTAATTTGCTCTAATTTCTTATTTAGGGTCTCTAATTTGAATTTTAAATTTTCTCAAAATTCGTTAAAAATGGCAAATGAAAACTTGAATACGCTTTGTATGGATGAATCAGACATAATATTTCACACAATGTTGCTCTTAATTTCACGAATTAACAGAAACCCTAATAAAGCACAAACTCGAAATAAGGGACAAAGAACTAACCTTTACTAAATCAGTTGATAAACTACGTAATCAAGTTGAAAATACACACAAAAATGCTTCGATCATCACCAGAAATGCTTCGATTCAGATGGAGAAAACGAGATGAAAAGCTTCTCTTTGGCGGGGTTTTGATTTGTTGCAAAGAGGAGAGTGGGTTGAAGAAGAAAAAGAGTGTATAGCGGGTGATTTCGAAGAAAAAAAAAGAATGGATATGGTGAGTGATTTATTTGAAGAAGAAGAGAAGAAAGTTTAAGGTTAGGGGTGGGAAGAGTGTTGGAGAAGAACAAGAATTGGGGTGGGGCGGGGCGGGGGTGGGGTGGGAGAGGGTTAATGAAGAAATTAGCTTTATAATAAAAATAATATTTTTAAATAAAATATAGTGTATTTATGCGCTTGGAAGCAAGTGTATTCACACATTTTTCAAACTCAGCAATATTTATGCCACATAGATTTGGTCAATGGTCAGAGGAATTTCAAATATTGTGTTTTAATAAGTTCAAGGGTCCGGCTGATAAAGTATAGAGTAAAAGGATTCAGAATACAAAGTCATACAAGTATAAGGGTCTATCAGACCATTTTGCCAAAAAATAGCAGGCGAAATGGTCTGATGTGTATGAGTTTATATTCTGAACCCTTACTTGACTCTTTATCAACTGAACCCTTAAACTTAATGAAATTCGATATTTTAAGCCCTTTTGACTATTGACCAAGCTTACATGGCAGTTTATTTATTGAGTTGGCACCAACACGTGATTTCACAGGTAGAAGGAGCGTGAACTCCAAATTTTGGACTAAAATAATGTTTTTCTAAAAAAAAAGACCAAAAATAAAAGAAGATTAAAAAAAACCACTTCTTTCTTCTTTCCCTCCTAGCCCACCCCATTTCTCTTTCTCTCTCTAATTACCATTAACTTCTTCCCCATTCAACCCCCATTTCCTTTTTTTTCTCCCCTTCCCACATCTCCAATTTCTCTTTTCTTTCCTTTTTTCATATTTTATTTCTTTCTAGAGAAACAAAAATGTGTTGTTATGGTAGATCTATTTTTCTGGGTTATTTACAATTCATAAGGTGATAAGATTCAATAATCTTGAACATTGAAAACTGACTGTTGAATGTCTTTGTGAAATTAGATGAAATGTATTATGTAAAATTGTGTACAAATATTGTGATCTATTGTGATATTTTAATGATGATTATTGGTATTAATGGAGAAAAGAAATTTATGTTGGTTCAAATGGATGATGTAAACGTTGGTAAAAAAAATACGATTAAGAGTTATGAATGTTAAAAACTTTGAGAAAAAATGAATTATGATTTTTAAAAACTTGAAGAGCCTGGTCATAACTATAGACAAAAATCGGACATGAAGAAGGAAAAAAAAAAAGGTGAATGGAGATGGTGTTAATGGTGGTTGTGGGTTTAGGAAGGTATGGGTAGGTGAGAGAAATAACTATTTTATTTTATTTTTGTAAATAGAAGATTTCTTATTTTTGTCCTTTATGGAATAACATTTTTGATTAATAATTTAAAAATATTTATGAAATAATTATGACATAGAATTATTATATCTGACGTGGATATGACATGTCATTTGTGCAAGAGAGAGTGAGCTCCACACATGGTTCGAGAGGTTTAAAAGTCTCATTTTAATAGAGTTTAAGGGTTCAGTTGACAAAAGGTCAAGTAAAAGGATTCAGAATACAAACACATACAAGTATAAGGGTCTATCAGACCATTTCGCTGAAATAATATATACATTAACAGAAAAAGAAAATCAAAGCTTGATGATTAGCCCGGAGAATGAAATACCCATTAACAAAACACAGCAGAAAAGCAAGTTCTCTTAACACAAAATTCTGAAGAAATCTCAAGAATCATAAATTTTTTTTATAGATTTTCAAACACTTCTAGCACCCATTGACCTAAAACATGAATGTCGTTTTGATCAAGTGAAAGATGTCATAAAAATCAAAATAAGGAAAAAAAATCAGCGTTGCTGGTCCAACATAGACGCAAATCACTACCTTCTTCAACAAAAAGCTGAAAAGTTTTGTTCAGCGAAACCATGAACCATTGAAGAGACAATTGGGGTAACAAAAAAAGAGAGAATTGGGGGTAACGAAAAAAGAGAGGATTGGGAGTGTGAGAAATATATGGGAAAAATATTATTGAATTGTGTATCTAAATAGTTACATTGAAACCCTATTTATAGACACTACATTGGAATCCTTTTCCAACTAGGATTCCTATTCTTATTCCTATTCCTATTCCTATTCTTATTCTAAGTAGGAAATACTTATTTATATTCTAACACTCCCCCTCAAGCTAGTGCATACAAATCATATGTACCTAGCTTGTTACAGATGTAATTAATACGAGGACATGTGAGGGACTTGGTGAAGATATCTGCAAGCTGATCATTTGACTTCACAAATTTCGTAACAATATCTCCCGAGAGTATCTTTTCTCTGACAAAGTGACAGTCAATCTCAATGTGCTTAGTCCTTTCATGAAACGCTGGATTTGATGCGATATGAAGAGCCGTTTGATTATCACACACAAGTTCCATCTGATCAATTTTGCCAAATTTTAGTTCTCCCAGCAACTGTTTGATCCAAACTAGCTCACAAGTTGCTGTCGCCATTGCTCGATATTCTGATTCTGCACTAGATCAAGCAACCACATTCTGTTTCTTACTCTTCCACGACACCAAATTACCTCCTACTAAAACACAATATCCGGATGTCGAACGTCTGTCAGAGGGTGATCCTGCCCAATCAGCGTCTGTATATCCAATGATATGCTCATGGCCTTGATCCTCAAAGAGTAGTCCTTTACCGGGAACTGACTTTATATATCGCAGAATACGAACAACTACTTCCCAATGACTATCACAAGGGGAAGTCATAAACTGACTTACAACACTCACAGGAAAAGAGATGTCAGGTCTAGTCACTGTGAGATAATTCAACTTTCCAACAAGCCGTCTATACCTTTCAGGATTACTAAGTGGCTCCCCCTGTCCTGGAAGGAGTTTAACATTCGGATCCATAGGAGTGTCAATAGGTCTACATCCCATCATTCCTGTCTCCTCAAGAATGTCTAAGGCATACTTGCGTTGAGAAATAACAATACCTGATCTAGACTGAGCCACCTCAATACCTAGAAAATACTTCAATCTGCCAAGGTCTTTGGTCTGGAAGTGCTTAAAGAGATGTTGCTTCAAATCGATGATACCATCTTGATCATTACCGGTGATAACAATATCATCAACGTAAACAACCAAATAGATACATCGACTTGGTGCAGAATGCCGATAAAACACAGAGTGATCAGCTCCACTACGAGTCATGCCAAACTCCTGAATTACTGTGCTGAACTTCCCAAACCAAGCTCGAGGAGACTGTTTCAGACCATAAAGTGGCCTACGCAATCGACATACAAGGCTACTAGACTCCCCCTGAGCAACAAAACCAGGTGGTTGCTCCATATAGACTTCTTCCTCAAGATCACCATGTAGAAAAGCATTCTTAATGTCCAACTGATGAAGAGGCCAATGACGAACGGCAGCCATAGATAGAAAAAGACGAACATATGCTATTTTAGCCACAGGAGCGAAAGTGTCACTATAATCTAGCCCAAATATCTGAGTATACCCTTTGGCAACAAGGCGAGCCTTAAGTCGATCAACCTGATCGTCTGGACCAATTTTGACTGCATAAACCCAACGACAACCAACAGTAGATTTACCTGCA